AGCAAGCACGCAACGCGCTCTCTCTCCAACGGGGAATAGATGGCGTTGTGTGACGAGACCAAACAACTGCTGCAAGGGGAGACAATGGTAAGTATGGCACCGATACATTCTAATTTTGCTTAGAAGTAGTTAGACAATAGAGACAATAGACCACAAAATACCTCTGTGAGTTCAGATACGTTACGCTTTTTTCTTTCGCTTAAAGTGAAGTAATGCCATATTTTCGTCCGTTTGAAAGCTATGCTCTTTTTCTGTTACAAAAAATGAACACATTAGGCACACAAAGTGCCCATCTCAGCCCGCCCAGCCGAGGAAATAACTCTTGCATGCTTCGCATGCCTATGTTTTTATTTTCACGGGAAAGGAAACGGGGAGTAGCGTAAGCCCATTTCCTGAACGTCGGCCGGTAATCGAGGCCACTGCGGCGGATACATGATTCGTTCATGATTGGCCACAAAGAAGGGGAGACTACAATCCTCATTTTCCCTACTCTACATTTTTCACTTTCGAGGTTTTCCACCTGTTACTCTCTTTCCCACTCTCCAGTCATTCTTGAAGTCGTACCCTACCTGACGAAAAATATCTATTTTCGCTGTTGTTTTGTTTTTCTTAGCGGTAGAGACTGTGCTCGACGGATTGCAATATGTTAAAAATTATCGTGTAATAAGTTAAAAATAGACATGTCGTTACTGAGCGCGTTATCATATGCGAAAGAACGATGCTAGAGTCGGCCAATAATCGTTCAGAAACCCGCAACGTCATAAGGACCATTTCACGATGCTCGGGGAGGGGCTAAGTGGGAAATTTATTTGGGGTAATCTTCTCCTATACTTATCCATGATTACTGAAAATTTTGTACCTAATATTGAAAAAGTCTTTCAGATAGGAAATTTAGAGAAACTTTTGTGTTTGCTAAGCCATGAAGGACCTATTTTAACTGCATTCTTTTATAAGTAGCACACTACCCTGCACGGTATGTAAATCAGGTCGCAGCAGGTCAATCAAGTATCTGAAACCACGAGAGCGGCTCGAGTGTTGCTGTAGTTCGTCTTTTCATAGAGCTAAACCTGTGTGTGTAAACTTTCTTAATTCATCAATCAAAACAAATCCTACTTTCCTAGATGAGCGAATTTTTTTATGGTGTTTGCGAGGAAGACCTGGATGGCAGTAAAGGATTCAAAGGTATACTGGTGCTGCGTGAGATTTTTCAAGTAATTTTTGACGAGGGTAGTTAACGCGTGTACATTACCCAAAGACTTAAATTTTCTTGGGTTTATCAATTGGTTACGGGCAAGAAATCAAGGAATTGCAGTATACTATTTGATCGTTTGAAGTTCAAAAAGGAAGTCTGGACAACAAATGAAGGACGAAGGGGTTACAAATTCACTGATGGCCACCAACAGTGAGAGCTGCTTCGCGTCTCGCGGATCCATTTTTGCCATTGTCGATAACATTCACTGGGCGATCGCCAGCGCCAAACACAACAAAGCTTATGTCCTTCGATTTGTGCCAGTACTTAAGCAGATTACAAAAGTTTTGAACGGAGCAGATGTGAAATTCATACGCCAAGCCGAATTCTACAGCGATCTGAAAGAAACCCTACACAAGATTGAAGACCACGTTAAGGAAAGTTCAACTCGTGGAAAATGGATGAATAGGTTGATGGCCAAGAAGAATCAAAAGAGTTTCAATGAATTTGAGAAGCATGTGGATGATCTCATAACACGAATCGTTTTTTCGTTCGCCCAGCGAGTTCAGCAGCAGAACATGGCTCGGCAAAAGAAGAAACCGTTGCCAGAGATACCGGAAGAAGATGAGTTGGGCAAATGCAAGATGGACGTGGAACGTGCTTGTCCGTTAGCAACAAATGATGATACTCCAGGGGAGGGAGTATCTTTGGCAAGTCAAGAAGATGACGTGACTGGCGAAAGATAAATGTTCAGCTTTATTTTTATCTTCTATGACTCAAATGCTCGAAAACATACGTGAACAGTTGAAAACAGCGCCTGTTAAGTGAAATGAGCTTTCATTTTGAAGCTACAACTTATTCAAAGTTGGTTCAAACAATCGTGGGAACACACAAACAAGCACTTGATTGTTACTCCTTTGTTATCCCCATCTTTACTAGAACTTTTAGACGCAAAGCTATTGTTTTAAAAAGATGTACTTTATTAATTAACTTTGAGCCTTTTTAAGTTCCAAGGTCTTTCAATGAATTGTTTATTTAGCTCTGTATATGGATTGGGAAATATGGAACACGGTTCCTATCAAAAGCATAAAATACATATTTGTGATCATTATTTATCAGTAATTTAATGATAATTTTGTATTTGTTCAGACTTCCTTACCTACATTGGGTTGCATTAGATTTAGGTGATGGAAAGCCTAAAAAGTTTGTTTCTCTTTTTTATCACAAGTGATGATACATACAGTAGAACTCCAATTACTTGCACCCTTAAGACAAACAAAAAAAAAATGATTAAGTTAGAGAAGTTTGAGTTTTAGGGGTTGGTATCCTGTTGATTACCAACAAGGAATTATATTTCTACCATTTGCCATTTCTGTACATTAAGTTTGTTGTCTTTTTTTTAAAGAATCTTTAGTTTGGAAAGTTAAGCTGAATGTTTTGTGTTTAAATAACTTATATTTCATTTGTATTAATTGGGATTAAGGATTAGGACTTGTAAATGAGCTATGCTCTGACACTTTGACATTATAAACCTACTTTTTCTTTTAGGGTCAAGTTACAAGGGTAATTTTGAATCTAGGGTAAGTAAAATTAGTTTAAGGTAAAAGGGAGTTCAAGGTAACCAAGTTAGAGTTAAGCTGATAGTAAATGACTGAAAAATGGGTTCAAATCCAAGGAAAATCACATCTTGTTTGAGTTAAAAAGGTATCAACTTAGGAAGGTTCAAGATAGCAATGTATTACTGTATTTCTTGTTGAAAATTAAAGGCTGGTCAATTCTTGTTGGATGAGCTTATCGATGATAAGTAAAGCTTTGTGCATGTATGGTCTAAGCTTATATTAGGGGGCATATTAAGAAATATTATATTGTATAATCAACTTTTCACAAGTAGTCAGTTTACAATGATCACCTAATTATGGTATTGATAATGAATTTTACAATGCTAGCCTCTATCTGTGGTGAGCATATTCTCAATTTCTAAGCAGAGATTTATTCCTTTGTAACTCATGCTTTTGTCTTATATTAAATTTGTGACACCTTCCCAGCAGTACTTGTGAATATTGTGCTTCAGGTCCAATTGAATCTGTATCAGTGGTGTTTGTTACTGGTTCAGAAGATGAATGGTTTGGCAGAATGTGTATTCTGAAAATGGTGAAATGTAAGGCTACTCTGTTTGGTGATTGAATGACAATTATTACTATGTGTGAAGGCTACTCCTTGTGTTCTCCCCATATTCCGCATGGGTTATTACCCTGTTAATTCATTACAAAGTGTGATCTACTGCTTAATTCATATACTGCTGATTGGATTTGTCCAGTTAGGAATAGGTAGAAGGAATTTAGTTGAGCATTTTGCGGTACAAAAATGACTTTAAATTTCATGTCCTTGTTGGTAGTCCAGAGTATGCTCTCGATTCAATTATGACAAATTTAGAAAATGTAATTGGTTGTCATAACTGGTGAACCAGTAGAAAGTGTGGTCCGTTTCTAACCTAACTTATTGCTGATTGGAGATATCCAGTTAGTTAAAAGTAGAAGGAATTTTGTCAAGAATTTTTCAGTGTGGAGCTGCTGTGTTCATGAGATTAAAATGCCAACATTAAATGGATATTATGAACTCATGTACCCAACTTGCAATTTTCACCCACTATAACTGTTATGTGGTAATTACAGAAGATAAGATATCCCTACCCCTAGGATCTTAGGAAGTTCCAGTTCCCAATTTTTACAGAGTAATTTTATGCAAGGCTAAATTTTGGGTGCATAGTATTTCATGTTTATATCTTAACCTCTGGAATCCTTGACAGATTGAATAGGAGAGACTAGTTAAGAACTGCATTCATAAGTAGAGGATATCAGAGGGGAAACCTGTCCTCCCTCAAAGTGCTGTGAAGAAATGTTTCCAATCATTGCATTCCATTAATAATATGGTCAGCAGCACAAGTAGACAAAGAATTCTTCAGCAAAGTAGTGAAAGCCATACAATTTCCAGAATATCATGTAATTGAGAGACTTAGTTAACCAAATCTTATAATTGAGAGATTCAAATTACAAGTCTTAGAACTCTAACATTCAAACCCAATCTATTTTGTTTTACTTGTTGGTAATATATTTACTGTCCAAAACTTGTTGGCAAAAAGTTTTTTTGTTTTTCCCTAAGCAACTGACGATCAAGAAGTATGTGTCCCAACATTCCTGTTCTGAACCTTTTGAGGAAATCAACATGAGCTCTGCGGTAATCTGGTACTCCACCTAAGAAAATAAACAAACTATCACAAATTTTGAAGAGTTACTAAGTAACAACAATTACAGCAATAAATAAACTTGTAACAAATAATTGCTGATCAAAAATGAAATTACCAGTATGTCCTAAGAAAAACTCTGATAAAATAAGGATAGAAATTGTCTATATAGTAGATTTATTAACAGAACTACTGCGTAATGTAAAATTAATCAGTTATCATCAATGGGTGATTGGAAAGTGGGTGAAATATATATTAATCAAATATCAAACATAAGACATCTTTGAAATAATTAAATTTTTTACAACATACCTGATATTGTAGCATTTAGTTTTTTGGCCCACTGTCTCATGACGAAGTTCACATTATCACTAGGGTTCCTGAGGCCAAAGCTTTCCACATATCTAGGACAACAGCATAATCTCAACAATGTTATAATTATCTTAAGTATCATCACTTTGATCAGAATTGTCAACCCTTCGATACCATAACAAAAAAAATATTAATATATATTTTTTTCAAGTTCATAATTTAATATGTTTGGAGGTAAACCAAAAAATGAGGGTGCATGTCAATGCAAATCTCATCTTGTTGACAGCTGCCTATGGCGAAGAGCCACCAAAAACATACAAACTTACATCCATTGACCCAAAGGAAGCTAAAACAAGATGGAACAAAACCAAAAGACAAACAGATCTAGAAAGAAAATGTGCATGGCTTTTTAATATCATTTTCCCCAAGAAATTTGCCAGTGAGACTAAACTTGGTACACCTAATCCAGTTTTCCTGAATCATGTTAATTATTTCTTGTAATTGTCATTCCCTCTTCCCTCTTTTGTACTTGTGACTGTCAACCAGTTACTCATCTCTGGTTAACTGTAACACAACTATCAATGGAGTTAGGGGAGGGGAAGGGGAAGTTGGAAAGAAAGCACAACAGGTTGGGAATTCAATACAAGTAATCCTAGTTGTATTTAGATATTTATAACAAGAGCACCCTGCAGTCAAGATTCTCACTGAAAAGCTCCTTACAACTTAGTTTCATCTTCATGGAGGGAGTTTGCCTAAAAGGTACTGGTATTTCATGTGGTAATATCTTTGTCACAATTAAGTGTTTTTTTCATTTTAGAGGAAACTTAGTGGTCACATAATAAAGTACTTATTCATATCCACCAAAACAGTCACTAACTGTGCTCTGCAAGTTTTAAGTAACACCATAAGGAACTCACTCAAAACGTTTTTCTTTGTTCAAGATATACAACAGATAATCAGCAATCAATTCCTCACCAACAATATGGTCTTTAAAACAACCTATAATAAAATGGAGTAGGCACTGATGTATCCATTATGTACTAAAAGTGTTTTGTACCCTGGAAGCTAAAGGCCAAGGATAACTATGTATAGAGTTGGTCATTGCAAGAGTCAAAACTCAACAGTCCTCATTGAGGGGCATAATTATTGAGATGAACCCATTAGCTCTGGAACAACGCAATGTAATATATGGAAAGGGCCCACTATTTAAACAAGGTCTAACCCAAATCAGGGTCTTACACAATAAGTGGGCCTCAAGCTCTCTTTCCAAGACGGTTGATTTCATCAAACAAAAGTCCTTCCACTATCAACTTTTGGCCCAAACGTTCAGATATAAGGTTCACCTAAATTGAGGATTGTTTAGGACACCATTTTGTTAAACAATGGCTACACTTTGTTTAAATAATCAGCCCTAAATGTTCAAACCACAACAATTGGTCATAAAGACCAACAATGACACTTGTAAGTGGAAGCAACCGACACTTCGACTACCTAGACAGAAGTCATCTACAGATTCATCTGTTGATTCTGTAGTTGATTTGAAGCAGGGAAACTTGTTGTCAAATAACTTTCTGGTATTGTTGCATACAGAGAAATTGATAGATTGTTAACTTCAGTTAAAAGGACTACCAACCAGTTACCTGACTCTGGGGGGAAAGTAAATTGTTAATTCCAAAAAGTTGACCCAAACATCAAGAAAGCCAGGTGATAAGGTGTGTTCTCATCAAATTTTTATACACAGTGTTGCTTGGAATCACTCTTTTATTGTAAATAATTGTACAACATAACCTGGTTGAAACCCGGCAATGCTCTAATATGCAGTAAATGAAACCACACCTATTAACGCTAGCTTCATTCCTATTTCTGCAGTTGGTATATAAGGAGCCACCACACCTGAAAAATTGAGAAACATGGGAAGTACGAAAACAATGCTCTGCAGATCTGTTATAAGTACATCATGTACCCTGACTAACGGTGATTACTTAACTTAACTTAACTACACAGATTACCTGGAGTATCAATCATATATGTTACTGGCTCATCACACACCTGAAAGATATAATTTCAATACCAAAAATGTCCTTCTCAGAGACAGTCATTGTGAAACAAGTGTGTGGGGATCCTGGAAGCCTATACATTTATCAATATTTTAAAATTTGTATCATGCAGTTGTATGTTTTGGTTTCACAATGAAAAAGATACTTCAAAACACAGTTACTGATTAGGAAAGAGACAGAAAGAAAAGGAATAACTTGCAAGTTATGAACTGCCCAGTTTTACCCTGGAGCCTTAATACATCAAATACCATTTTATTTGTGTTCTTGAGAATGGGAGACCATTAGTAATGATGATTTAACAAAGGAACAGAAGAGCTGAACCATAGAAAAAATTGACAGTATAGTCCTAAGAAGGACTGTTGTCGGTAGTGGTGACTAATGTTCAGACAACCTGAGTGGAAGTCATCATCACAGTCAAGTGAACAATTGTGGTAAGTTGAATGTTCTAGGTACTCTCATGTAAAATATACAAGTAGAGTTACAGTCAGAGTGTTTTTTTTTTCATGCTTTTCACCTTTGAATAGAAGCAATTAAATTTCTTAAGTTGATGGGTATGGAAAAACCTTTACATATAATGTGTGTTAGTAAAGGTTGTAAGCACCTTACATACATTTACTTAAACTGTATATAAGTATAGGTAATACGCACCTTAAAAACATTTACATACACAGTGTGTAAGTATAGGTAGTAAGCACCTTAAAGTGTTTACTTACACCATGCTTGAGTATAGGTAGTAAGCACCTTAAAATGGGTAATTGTGAAGAAGAGCTCCCCAAAAAACCTGTGGGCCGACTGTCGGTCAACTGTCGGCCAACAGTCGGCCGACAGTTGGTCGTCTGTCAGCCGTTTGTCGGCCGACAGGTTTTGCCCGAAATATAGGCTACCTGTCGGCCGACAGTGGACCGACAGTTGGCCGACAGTCGGCCGACTGTTGGTAATGTGTTGGATTGTTATGTCACGTTAACTGTTTGTTTTTAACACAATTTTTCTTTTTTCTTAACCTGTCGGTAACCTGTTGGTTAGCTATCGGTAGACTGTCGGCTGACAGTCGGCCGACAGGTGTTTTGGGGAGCTCTTCTTCACAATTACCTTAAAATGTTTACATACACCATGTGTAAGTATAGGTAGTAAACACCTTAAAAATGTTTATATACACCATGTCTGAGTATAGGTAGTAAACACCTTAATTTTTTCTTGCATGGATCTTGTTATCCCTGGAACTGCACCCACTCTAGTTGCTTTGCCTTTACACAAACCAAGAAATCAATAATATTATAGTTGTCTTAATTTCAAAGAAAAAACAGTTTAATTCAAATGTTCCAAACCTTCACCTAAAGTATTGGCCTCTGGAAGCAAGAAAATTAAACTTCAGTAACTGCACTTTGTCTTTCACAGGTGCATGTGTGTTGTGGGAAAGTTCACATTCAGAACATTCATAATAACACTTTCCACTGTCTAGCTCACTGCTGAGAAGACTAAAGTTTAAAATTACCATAAAGATCACATAAATATCCACTTAAGGGATATTGCAATATTTAACAGAAGATAAAAACTGGCATGTTTTCAGTAGTCATTATAGTAAGTAATTTTCATAATTTCAGAGGGGGCGGGGACTGAAGAAGATTATTAGAGATAGAGCAAATACCTTTCCGCAGGTATTTTCTTCGGAGTGCATTTATCAAAGAAGACTTTCCAGTATTTGGCAAACCACAGGTCAAAATATTGTATGGCTTGTCTGGATTCTACAAACAAAAGTTAAAAGACAGTTACTGCTTTCAAAATAGTTGATGTTCCTGAGAGATATTTTGTATATGCTACTTGGATTGCAATATGTAGCCAAGACTGCATTGGACTGCTAACTTCATCGTAGGCTGTTGGTCACTCTTTGATTTTTTGGATGTCATGTTGGTGCCATGGGGTCTAGTTATTGAATATGCTTCCAGAAAAATAACTAATTTTATGATTAAAAAGTCATTTTTATTCCACTGTTTCAATGCTTGGGAATTGTAGTTACAATAGTCAATTATTATGAGATTCTAGCTCTCTTTACTTGCATGAGCTCGTACTACTTCACAATATATAAACATAATTGTGGCCCTCTGAAAAATCAAAATTGATATGTTGGTACTAAAGAAATTACTCATTCATCATGAGGAACATTCCACATTCTAAAGGTTGAGATAACATTATTACCCACAGAACATGTGAAATTTCAGGGTGATTGGGGCACCTGGAGTGAATTTATAGTGTTAGATTCCAGTGGATCATATTGCTATTTGCTCCCTATTTTAATACAACTGCACATTCATTAAATTACAAAGCAATTCCATAAAGAAACATTTTTCAAAAATTACTAATATCACCAATACTAACTGATCTAATGTATGTTCCTTCATATTCAGCATCCTTTACTGCTTCAAGAATAGCTGGCACAACCTGTAAGGTAACTGTCGATCATGATATTGATATATTACAATTACTGGTAATATACATGTATTTTAAAAACACAACAGGTTCACCATTGATTTCAGTGTACTTGAAGGTGCTGCACATGTGTATCAAGAAGTTGTTTCTGCTTCAATCTTAAATCCCCTCTGTATTAAAGTAATTCATTTATGTAACAGCTTAATGTTTTGTCCAATATTTGTGCCTTTAATGAAGCCTGCTTCATCAGGGCTGGTTAAAAGACATGTATTAAATTAATTTATCTGTGCTACCTATTTCTTCATTTGTGATATTAGACAGGCTGGCTCAGTTTGGCTTTGAGGCTGGATGAAATGGCAGCCTGTATAAACAAGGCTACACTACAGCAATCAATTAGATTTTGCATTAACTGAGCTATGAAAACAAAAAAAACAAAACAATGACAGCAAAAGGGATGTTATCAAATCAAATTTTTAATAAGTATAGACTCAGACTAACTGTAACTTGCTCACAAACAAATTGCAAACCTAATCTTTAACCATCTTTTTGTTTACCCTTTTAATGCTGTAATGATATTGAGATTTACTATCGGTAAGCACAGCTCTAGTTCCCTCACTTTCCAGTTGTCTCAGGATCTCCTACAATTCAGAGGTTATTATTGTTATTATCAAACTAATCTTGTCCCTTGTTTATTATACCAGTATCTAATTGTTCAGTTTTCAGTTTGCCCTGGCTTTGCTAGTACAATACTTTGTGTAAAATACCAAACAAAAACTTTTTGTAAGCCACCATAGGCATGACTGCCGCATAAATAAATTTGAAAGCATTCTTTAATACAAATAATTCAGATAGATTCATCTATGGGCGACAGCAAGGAATGAAAGCAATAACAAATGAAGATTGAGGTGAAAGAACAAGGATAAACAGACCAACAAAGGAACAAAGGATAGTTAAAACTTATATAAATTTGTACAGAAAACCCATTACAATGTCTACCCATTAATTACTTTAAACTTACAAGATAGACTGAAAACTAACTATGAAAACTAGGGGATGTAAGCTAAACTTACATTTGTTGCAATGATGGCCAAAATTTATATACTGTCAGCACAAAGGAAACTGAGAAAAAGATGAACAACCTGCCAAAGCCAAGGTGAACAACAAAAGAGTTGCTAGGCAAGGGAAGTATTAATACCCCATGGGTTACCTAATACATGATAAAAGCATGTTAGCTGGACAGAAATTCTAACTAGCCCCTGATATCCAATAGTTTTTTTTTTGTTACACTATACAGAATTCTACTAATAGATCTGTCTACCTTTAAAGTAAAATAAAACTAATCAAACCCTTTGCTTGGCCATTCCTATGAGATCCATCTTGTTAAGCACAAGTACATGTGGTCTGCTTGACAAATTATTTTGAAACTTGGGGTTTCTTCCAGTAAAGGGAATTTGTATCTCAGTTAAGGAATACATATGAGTACCTTTGATAGCAATGGTATTCACAAGGTGAATTAAACTGCAAAGGGGTTTTCTGGAATTGAAGGACAATTATAGGTAAACATATAAAAGTGCCCTTGAAGCTATTAGGAATTGTTCCATGGTACACTTTGCTAGAGCAACATTTCTTGAAAGAGAAATAAACTTGTAGAGGAGTCATGTTAAGTGGTGAGGAAAATTTACAGTCTACACATAATTCCATAGGAGACAAAAAGGTTTTGCCATGCCAAAAAGTTTGGGTCAATCTTTGCATACTCAAACTGGTCAATTGAGAAAAGCTTGTCATTAATTTTGAGAGGATTGCAGCGAACAGTCTTTGACTATGATCTTTCCATGCCAAGTTGAATTTTGTTAATCTCAAGATCTTCAAATGGGTTTTAAAAGTTTCCAAAGAATGTTTCAAAAATTTGGCATACCTTCTGTAAAGGACTTGACCCTGACTTCAATCTTGATTGACATTGTCTGCAAGTGCATGGGTGTGTTTTGTGTGTAGGAGGGATATGTGCAAGGAAAAAGAGAGTTTCAAATATAAGGGGAAGATGATTAAGTGGAAATGCAAATGGAATGGCCTTACCCCACTGTGACAATTTGGGATCAAAATAAAGGATATTCTTGCATCATGAACTTCCACAACACAGTCACACTTTGGTAGCTTTAGTTGCATCTTACGGAAACCTAACAAGACAACCACACAATATTTTGGGCATGTCAAGGCTTGACTTTCAATACAACTCAAGGTACAATAAAATATTTCCATAAGAACCTACAGCCTGAAATTTTCCTTCAACCTTTGACTTGTGAACCAATTTTTGTAGGAAACAAAAACAGCTCTAGATGTCACAGTCACATGTTCTTGATGTTCAAAGATTTGCATTACTTGTGAGAGAAAGCTGTTGGGTGACAAGTTCTTACCATTCAACAAAATGTAAAATTTTAACACTGCTCTGAAATCTTGCTCTAAAGTGTTGTTGGTAAGTTGTGTGATTCCTTTCACTTTGTCATAAGAATGAGATGCATCATATACATACCAACTTAAAATGGAATAAATGGTACAATTATTAAAACTTTCCAATAAAAATCCTAAAAGTTTCAAAGTAACCCACTGTTCTTCTTTATTTCAACTATTGCAATGCTGTATAGTCCTAAACATACCCCTCCAGTTTAAACAGGCAATTCCTTTTGCAGAAACATTGTCAGAATTATATGCGGAGCTGAATATCTTTCACATGAAAACCTCACCCCAATGTTTTGCAATCTAAATAACCTTAATATTTTCAACAAAATTACTTGAAATCACTTGAAATTGAAAACGTTAAAAAAGGTTTAACTCAACCTAAAAGCATTATAATTTAATTGAAGGCAAATGTTTCTCAGCAAGGCTGGTTTCATTACCTTGGCATTGTGGTATGAAATAAAATTTCATTCACCTGATTTGCACATTTTGCAGTTGATTGATGTTAACTGAACTCTGAAATGGCTTCATGTGATATTGTGTAACAGCACGTGTTTTTTAACTTCTTTACCATAGAAAATTTTTCCTTTTACATAAAAAAAAGTAATTGCATGTTCCCTTGTAAAATTAAGGAAAATACCACTTGTGCTCTCCCAGTTGTGGAAATTGACCTTGTTGCTGTGTGACTTTGGCAATTCCTGCAAATTCTAAAAACATGCATGACATCTATCCCTAATTTTACTTGGCTCCATGCAATTACCTTTATTAACCACAACATACAATATCAAACATGGCTTCAAGTATATACATTAGATTGATATGGGATTTCAAGTCATTTCCCACCAATCTTTTAAATAAAAAAGTTTAACCTTCTCTGGCTCATACTCAATCCTCCCATTATTATTTTCCTCCTCTAGTGAGATTAAAGAAATTTTTTTTTTCACCACTTTTCATCACATAAAGAAAGGTACATGTACAATACATGCCAGTAATTACCACCCACACTACTGTAGAACCTATGTTAAGCAGTCTGCAATCCTCCACCGAAGGTCTGGATTTTCTTCACAGTGATCTCACCTTATTCCGCAGATATTCTAGCTTTGAAATGCCGATGTGGACCCTGCATGAAAATGAGGCTACTACATAAAACATCTCACTTATAACTTTGTTTATTATGGGCAAAATAGTATCAAAATAGAACCAAAGATATAACTCTACATTCTTGTTGATGTCTTAAACACATATCTAGTAACTGTGAGTCACAGGATAAGTCAAGTGACTAAGGGAGTATCAAAGTGAGGCTGGTCAACTGAAGTTCCTTTGACCTTCCAACGATGTCTGAAATGCTTTGCTATACTTCATAAACAGCATAGAAATTTTTTTAGCTCAAACTGTTTCTTCCTGATTAAATGTGCTGGTCATGTGATTTTAAAAACATGAAAGCAAGGCTGTGATATTTGGCTTTGCTTGACAATTCAATAATACAAAAAGAAAACTTGCTATCATTCCTGATATAATTATTAAAGATAATATTTCTCATAAGTAGACCAGTTGTCAGCCATAGGCACTAGAGATTTAATCATAAGCAAATATTTTTGTAACTTGGGACTCAAAGTGTGTGTAACTTAATCATCCAAAACAGAATTATATTCTTAACCATCTTCATCCTTTTCACTCTTGTTATTATCACCAGAGCCACTGTCTTCATCATTATGCATATTTTCACACATTTCTCCAATATCTCAACACACACATTGATCCATGCAGTTCAGCCCATTCTTTCTACACTGACAGCATTTGTCACACATTATGCCCCAGCACACTTGCACTTTACATGATGAATAATAGCCTGAGGTACTGGAGGCAGTTTCTTCATTATAACAACCCAACGGTCACTATCCCATGGTCAACCAAAACTCTAAAGTGATAGCAGGGTGGGATTTGCTACCATATCATTATTCCACACCAGATTGCTTATTGAAATACAACCTCAGTTGGGGGGCAGCCTCTTTGACTGGGCTTGTTTCTAACTAAAGACCACCATCTGGGAATAACACCTGCACCTTCAAGCTCAGAAAGACCCATGATGATTTCAGCTTCCAATTGAAAGCTTTTTAACATGTGGATTTCTCTTTTCCTGAAAAACAACCAGTGTTGTCTGCTCCACTTAAAGCTGGGAGAGTGGCTGCCATTTCAGGACCTATGGTGCAAAAAATTGGCCAAAGAATAATTTCTCGATGATTCCTGCCTGTACCAGTGACAAAAGGGGTTTCTTGCAAAACGTTGAATAATTTCTGAGAGCCAAGACAAAAACCTCAGTGTCAAGAGAATGTTGTACTTCTGGCTGTAGTATCAATGTCATGTAAAATAATCTTCATGTCTACCCCCTTCTGGTTGCTTTGGAGACAAGAAAATCTTATCTTGTTCCCATGTATTCTGACCTCCTACTAAAACTATACTACTAATCCACCATTTTGGCAGCCAAACTTGACAGTCTTCTATGCTAGATAGTCTCCCAGCACCATCTTTGTTGTGGTGTGTAAAGAAGCTTCTTCATTGGAATCTTTGTGATGTGCATTGAAGCAGTGATTCAATCATACTTCTGATTCATGCCTTTTTGCTTCTTGTTTGAGTATCTCCTTTTAGAGAAGATGGCAGACTGTATTTGTCAAAAAAAAGGATTTCTTTATTTTCGCTGAGCATCTTGAAAATGTGACAAACAAAGTGATTTAGTTTTTGATCCATTTGGGTTTGTCCAGGGATTAAACCTCAGATATTGCATCCACCAGAGTGACTCTCATTTGTACTTCTGTAGTTTGGTTGACGGTTCTGTCATTGTCTTCACTTAGACTTACAGGCAGTTTCTCTAAAATACTAATTAAGGCATTCTTACATGAACAGCAAAGTAATGTACCATCAGTAACAAACATTGATCTTGGCAACATGGAGCTTCTTGGATTTCAATCTCTGGCAGACTCTTGTATACAATTATCATTCTTACAAACAGGTTCCTGTCCTCATGCAGCTCCACCATGCTGTTTTCAATCCCTAATTTGATGTTTCTGCCAGCAGTCTTCCAACTGGAAAGCTTCTAGTTCTTCATAAGGTCCCAGAGATTGACTTCCACCTAGGGACAGGGGCAGGGAGCAGGGGAGAGGGGTTGTAGGATATTGGCTGTGTCACGATACTTTACCTGATCCCTCATAAAGCTCTTACCATCATAAAATTCTTATCATCCCTCCCTCAATAGCAGTTAGTCAGCAGTCATTTTCTACATGCTCCCCTTCATACTCTTTTAGCAACAACAGATTTCCCCTCTGTTCCCCCTGAAAATCATGTGATTTCCAAATCTTCCAGTTTGAGCTGAAACAAACATCTATGCTGCTAAACAAACATGCTATGCTCTAAACATTGTTGGAGGGTCAAAAGAAGTTTTAGTCAACCAGCCTCACTTCCATGTTTGTTTGGTCGCATGCCTTATCTTGTGACTTACAGTAACTAGATATCTGTTTAAGACATCAACAACAACATAGAGTTAATCTTTGGTTTTATTTTGGTGCTATTTTGCCCATAATAAATGAAGTTATAAGTCAGATGCTTTATGTAGTAGCCTCGTTTTTATACAGTCCACAGGGCCATTTTTAAGACATCTTCTAAAAAGCGTTGGAGCAGATTGCAAAAGTGGCAACACGATATTTCTGTTTATTCAGTGTCCCCTTTCTATATCTAGTGCAGTAGCTTGCTTTCAGCAAGAAATTTCCACGTGAGTACAAATACTGTCAGACTACTACTTGAATTCCTTTTTAACCATAATGTAAGCACATACCCCCAAATATTGTAATTAGAGAGGTTGTGGGAGGGGTGGGGTGAAAGTAATGTGCTTCTTGGCAACCTGTTGGCAATCATTCGTGCCAACTTTTCGAAGAAATTTACGTTTGGAAAATTACTCACCTTTCGCCATGTGGCCTGGAAACCATTTTAAAAATATGCTAGGATGAAAATGTTCCGGAAGGCGAAAAGATGGTCGGAAACTTGCATTTGCAAGCCACAACTCCGCGCGGTTCACGTAAGGACTAACTGCCATGTTGGACAACCGCAGAGAGCATGCTGGGACTATTTCGACTGCTGGATAACGGGCACTGCAGACGGATAAACAACGCGTTCGCGAAATCGCGTTTGATTATTTTCATAACGTATCTACTCAATGTAAAACTTGACAAACAAACTTAGAAGAGTCTTAGCCATTTATTCCTTGGTTGTGCCCTGTAAAGTGAAAAGATAATGCCTGGCGTCACAAGTAAGTTTCGTGTGCAACGTTATCATCATCGCATTCATGTGGATTGGTGTGAAACACATCTAGCTGTGGCGTGTTGTTGTCTTTAATTCAAGAAACAATTACGCTTTGGGATGCCTAGGGATCTAGGTCTATTTTACGTAAAGCCTGTCTTAAAAATTTCCAGGTAAATTACCAGATGGCTGGGAGCGTTCAGAAACGGCTAACGGCATTCCATACTATGTAAAGTAAGTTCATATTTGCTTGGAGATTTTGTTTTGTGGAAGTTTAACCAACTTCAGTCCGCATTATTGTACTTTGAATTTGATTTTATCTGAAAATATAACTGTGGAAGTAGAAACTGGAAGACGTCAATACTTATTTCTCCTTTTAAAGCTTAAAACATACCTCAACAAACTAATGGTCTCTAGAAATGTCGTAGTAAAGAAAGTCGTAAGATTTCCGCACAACCTTCATTATGCATATAGTTTTTGGATAAAGAAAACGATGACCAAAACAGCAGAGTGCGTTTGGGGCTACGTCTTTGTTTTAGAATAGCATGGGACTGTGTGGAAATCTTTCCTTTCGGTGAGATTGCGTATTGGTCTCACTGATAGGGAAAAGGTTTATTGGTTAAGTGAACAATTTTTAACTCATAAAGTTAAATTTGTACTTAATGTGTCTGTTTTTATTGATCTGACACAATATTGATTGTAGATAAAGCTAACCGAAAGTGGCTGAATACAGTTTGCATGTGGTCAGCCACAGTTTGCCTGATGGTTATAAATCACACAAACAAACATGGCAGTGAAAACTCGGTTGTTGAAATGCAGTATTCCTACCAGAAGTTGGATGAGCAAATCAGTCAAGATGTGTCCAACTCTGTTTATTTGTGAAAAAAATTGTGGAAATCAGTTTACTTAGCTAAATTGTCTCCAAAAAATTCGGAGTCAAGTTGCCACAACAGCATAACCTACTGCTGCCAGGAGGAGAGCCACAATAATAATTTATTTTTCAGTGTTTCATTAATTACCCTACTGCTGCTACTGTTTTCAAGAACTTCGTACTGTGGACAGACAGAAGAGAAAAGCAAAGGAAATGTTAATGTCAGCTAAAAAACAACCCATTTTATCTTTCACCCCAAGTGTAAGCTGCAAAGTGCAAGGCAATGATTAAGGCAGCCAGAGGGGAACTTTTCAGGTGACACTCAATTTATCCCACCCAAAAACAAGGAAAAAAAAATTGGCTGAACATCGCATTCTTTATGGCTAGAAACATGACCCAAAGAATGTTGTATTTTCTTTAATAATCCTTAAAATCATGCCAGTACTGCAAATTGGTCAAAATATGCAAACTTTATACAATATTTTTTATCTTTACTCAAAGCCAACTTTCCAAAAATAACTTGAAAGAGTTGAATGATTTAATTTTGGTTCTATGAATTTTTCTAAGGCCCTCTCTATAATTAGCAAAGAGACATAGCAAGGAGTATCATTTTAAGGTTTATCCTACCAACAAAGTAAATTTCTCCTCATGCATCTCAGGTAAACAAATTCAAAACAACTTGGGCTGTTGGGGAGAAAATTTTGCATTGTGGAGGCAATTCTTTGCAGACAGTTCCTTTATGCAAGTGTCACTTGATGATTTCCTTGAAGATTCAAAGCACTCAAATTCTCATGGAAAACTTGTTCTTATTGGCCGTAACTCTGCTTTCAACTGCCTTTGCTGAAAGAGTCCAAGATACCTCGCAAGAGCTGTTTCAAAGCATGAACAAGTTGAATATCTGACAGTCTCATTGTGTTCCAAATTTTTATAAAGAACACACACACAAGGTGCTCAAACAAACAATGGCTCCTTTGTGAAAATTAATCTAGCATTGCTTCATAGAGGTCTTTTTTTCAATGCCATGATGCACTTGAGGATGTAAAGGTGCTAAATAAAATGCTCTTAAAGTCCTCTCTGAACTTATCCCCTTCCACAATTGTCAACAAAAGTGGCACAACAAAACTAAACACAGTCATTGAAGAAGTGAAGTACATGAAGGTCACACTCTCTTAAAGTCATTTGATAGGGCAATTGGTGATTCATCACAAGGCAGGATTACAAAGAAGTCCATGACCAGAAAGCTTGCAGAGCCTGATATTGGCTACTATCACTTGAAGACACTTTTTACGACTAAAGGAGAAATGGGGTTCTTGCCATTTTTGCCAATCTGCCAGCAAGCAGTTGAACTTGTTGTGTTTGAAGAACTGCACACCCTCTGACATTACACAAAAAATGTCAAGTCATTTCAAAGGAATTCTGTGTTTATTTCATTTACTTCATGGCTTTTTATACTTGGGGAGGGTGTCTAAGCTCAACCAAAGAATTCCATCAGGCAATGAGTGCAAAAAATAAGGGTCACAGTGTTTGAAATAAATTACCTTGAGCTGCGCATGTGCATTAATGAAAGCATGTGAGACTACCCAATTTTTTGACCTACCGAGATGATGTACTCAAACATGAATTTTTTCACAGTTTGCTCATTAGAATTTGATAAAGTTTGTCAGAATCCCATTTTAAAGGCACTTCAAAAAAATGAAAACTCTGAAAACAGCTTTATTCTTATTTTTTTAAGCATACTGTTAAAATGTTGTCAAGTTAATATAAAACAATATTAATCTGTGATGAAGCTTTGTGCAAGTTCATGGGAAAATCAATGTTGACATGGAAACAGTTGAAGGTGTCAGTAATAGTGGTTAATAAAAAATTTAATCACTATCTTTTCCTAATGTCAAATTTCAGCTTATTTGCTGCAATATTTCTCACATAGTGTCTCAATGGATGACAGATACTCAAAACCTATCGGCCACGCTAATAAGATTAAAGTTTGCTGATTAGCTTATTTGTGCTAATCAGTTCATTCTAGATTCTTTGTTGGAGTTCCAAAATGGTCTTGTGTTCCTTATAGTTATGAAAATGATGTTGGCAAAGTACATGCAATTGTTTTCACATTCTCATTATTACCCATTAAGCTTTTCATAACCTAGATACAGAGGAAATTAATTGATTATTTTTTAAGAGTACTTCTTGTCATAACTTTAGAAAATCACTTACAATACCTTTTTCTCTTATGGCAGTCACGAAACTGAGAAAACCCAGTGGGATCATCCAGAAATGGTTAGTCTACTGGAGGAGACAGGTGAAGTGAATTATAATCTGTATTGTGTGTTGAAGTTAAGTTGATTCTTGATTTTCCTGCTTCTGGATGAAACAAAGTATTTCAGCAAAATGAGCAGATGTACTGCCATTTTTGTGTGGTTTCACTTGCCCTCAAGCTTGTGCAATTTTGCTGTCTTTGAAAAATTTACATGAGCTTATAATCACCAAATCGCACTTGAAATTATGTTATTACCAATACTTAATACAACTGAATTCGCCCTGTAACGTTGGAAACAGGCTGGGGTTTATAACATCAATTTCTTAGGTATAATTTTTTTGCTTATCTGTTGCAGAGAGTTTTAGCAACATCAAGTATGCCGCATACCGAACAGCCATGAAGCTGAGGGCTATTCAGAAAAAAACTCAATGTACGTAATTTAAATTGAGTTAGTCCAATGTTTTGTTAATTATTCATTGTTATAATTCCAAAACTACACATTTCCTTAATGGACAAAAGTTTGATGGTGGTGGAGGGGGGGGGGGGTGTGACAGGGGGTTTACAGCCTCCTGTTTTCTGTGCCACGTTCTCCTACCTCCTGTACTTTTGTGCCCCTTTATCTCCCAATTCTGGTCCTTCATTGTATTCTCTCCATTCACATCATTGTATTCACTTCAGTCTTTAGGTTATTAGAAAAGATTGACTTGGAAACAGTTAAGGGCACCAATATAAGTGGTTAATAAAAACCTTTAATCACTAATATTAAAAAGAATCAGAATCCTGGGTTATAGGCAAGCTGTGCCGAACCCCATCATTCTGGACTATTCTCTGGCATTGCATTTCCTTTAATTTTTACAGGGCATTTTTAGGGTATTTTTTAAAATAAACTTTTAGTATTGTATTTTAAATAAAAATTGTCCCTTACTGTTATCAGTAAGGGACAATGTTGTTAAATTAAACCTTGGCTAGCTGCAGAAAGTTGTACTTACATTTATTTTGCAGCTGTGTGATTGTCTGATAATTAGTTTCAAACCGATGTGGAGCAAACTTTGCCAGTACATATAGAGACACCTCTCAATTAAGCTAATTTAACATCTCAAATCATGCACAGGTTGTTGAAGTGCAGTAAATAATGCATGCACCAAAAGTAACATACTGGCAATTCTCTACTAAAGTAATTGTCAGAGAATGATAAACTAGTCAAAAGAAAGGTTGTCAGCATTTCATGTTACATTTTCTTCTTGCAGTTATTGCACAGTGTTACAAATATATTTGTGTGCAAATAGATAGTTTATAATTAGCCCCAAACATTACAGTTAAATGGGAGACATTATTAATAGCTCTCACAATTTCCTACCAGTTAATGGTTAAAAATGAAGTTGAAGAAAGATGAAATGAAACTATTGTTTTTCTTTTCATCTCAGTGTACATGGTTGATCTGCGTGTAGTCAAGATGTCGTTCAGTGATGAAGGAATTAACAATGGATATGCAGAAGGAAACTTGTCTGTAGCAGAACTATCCAAAATCATCAATGCTGTTTTTGTCAATCAGAACAGGGATAAGAATGGATTTATTGACGTGTCTCTGGCAAGTGAACTGACCCTTAACTGGATGCTCAATGTCTATGATCCGTGAGTAAATAGAGAATGTTGTCTATGGTTAATGCTAAGGTCTACATTGTAGCTAAATCATAATTATGGCACAAGGGCCAGCAACAACTAACACACAGTTGTCATGGGTAAAGATAATGGTTGTCCTTATGCCTTTTCAATTGTCTGGCCAGTGTGAAAACCTCTCCAGACAGTTTATTACTCATTTTGTTCCGTGAAACACATTGTTTTTTAAAGTGTATCACATGTATCTTTTTTAATATCTCGGATATTAAATGGATACTATTAGGGGCAAAATTTATTAATACCACATTTTTGCATCATATATGATCCATTACTGAACAGACATATGGTAACATATATTTAGAATCAATTTTTAAGTCTCTAACTGACTAACTAAAAAATCTGATGTGCTTAACAGATTGTTGTTGTCACGTGTAAAAGCATGGATGAAAAAATAGAAAAAAAACAAACCAAAACTTGGGATAGTTTGCTGCCCTACTTTCTGGGCATATTAATTCCTTTTTCTACAGTGTAATACTGAGGCATTTGATTGTGCATTCTGATACCCTAATAACTCAAAGGTAAAGTGGAGCAGTAATATATTAATAACATGGATAATCAAAACTATAACGAAATTCTTATCACCAGCCGATTTGAGCATTAATAGGACAGTGTGTGTGTCATGCTTGTAATTGCACAGTGTAATAGGACAGTGAAAGGGATAGTGAAAATGTCATGCCTGTGTACGTTGACAGAGGGTGTGCTCTACTGTTGCATTGCCAAGTGAACATTTTTTTTTATCAAAACATATTACCAATGTCTAGTTTCATTCTCAAATTTTGTCATAGTTTTGATTAATTGATGACAGGAATATGTGTTGTCCAATTCTGTCTAAAATCATACTTAAACAAATTGTTAATCACTTGCATGACCACAGATGGTATTGGACTCCACCCAGTCCTATTAGCATCATATATCCCATTGGTCACTTGTATTTCTTGGTACAAAAACTTGATTAAGGGCTCATGTATATACAAAGAAATTACAAGTGACCTAGAATATTACTTGTTATACCAACTGAAAGCACTGCACATCTAGTATGTACATGACTATATTACTAAGAAATGCACATTTAGTACCATCACCAACCCCTCAATGCTTTCTTTGATCATGATGATTTCTCTCACTCTAGGGAGAGAAAGGGATATGTGCCACTTCTTTCTTTGAAAGTCTGTCTTTCCATTATGTGCTCTGAAAAGATTCAAGAAAAATACAGATGTAGGTTTATCTTTTTTTGTTGTAATTGTGTTTAAGATATTCCCCGGCAAGACATAATCTGTCAATCCTGTTGTAGTCTAATAGTGTTTTTATCATTTTTTCAATTATTTGAAAAGCTGCGACTGTAATAATTTCATCACGATGATGATAAAAGTGTTTAAAAAGGATATGCCTTTCAAAAGTATAATGTAAATTCTGGCTTTTGAGTTTTCAAATGAGATTAACATTGAGATTTCTTTCTCACATACACAAAAGGGCCCTGATAGAACTTGTTCAGGGCATGGTAGGTATCAGCCTGTCTAAAGGTCTCCAGCCTGACATCTGGTGTAGAGTTCAAGGCCTGAAAACAACTTTTAAAAAAGTACTTTCAGATAACTGTTTTGATATTTTTTCATGACCAGATGTCACAAGAATGTAGACAAACAAATACTATATATTAATAAATACTGAATATTAATAATTGTTTCACACTCTATCACTTTTTGTGAGTATTTCTTGATTTCACTTGTAACTAACCTGTTCTCCCTTTGTTCTTTTCAAGATTTGTTTTCACAACTTTGTAATAACCAGGGATTTTTGGATAGAAAGAGACTTAATTTGTTCCTTCAAGAGATGCTGCGGGTAATGTATTTCTCCATTCTTGGCTGAGGACTAACATTCCTTTTGTGTTAGTTTGACTCAATATATCTTGTTTGTACATGTGCACTGCACAACTTAGCAAAGTTTAATATGTTTGTTTTTTTGCAGAAGGAAATTAAATTTATTCATTCTTTGTTTTTTTTTAATTTAAAAAATAACTATGTCAGCGTATCGAGTGGTATGTTGCTCTTGCCAATTAGATAGCCGCATCAGGGTGTGTATCTCGCACAAATAAGATCGCTGCATTAGGCTATGTATCTCGCCAGAATGTCGTCCCCAATGCCAATCATGTCATGAAATTAATAGAGGGGTAAGTTTCTAAAGAAACTGGTGTGGCGTCGGTGGAGGAGTATAACCTGATATGAAATTAACTACCGCGATATGTTGCGATGGAATCAACCCAACATTGACACACATCAAGAATGACATTGACAAGAACTGTGAGTTCCTCTACCCAGTGTAAAAGTTCATATCCTTCGTGAGGACTTCGTCGCTATGGTCTGTCGGGGTTAGAAAGGTCGTCAGGGAATCTTATTACCATTTCGAAGTTAAAAATGTTTTGTGTACCGCCCCTTCACCTACAACGCACATACCGTCAGCTATAGGCTTAACACGAAATTATCACTAAAGCGTTGAGATATAGTTTGATGCTACTCTGGTTTGCAGATTTAATGAATGTAACCGAAGAAGTTACAATTCATAGACCCAACGTTTCGACCCTCCTGCTGAATTTTCCTTTTTGCAAAGAAAAACCGCTTTTTGGTGCTCTTTTAACCGTGTACCAAACTGACGTTTGGTCTGTTCGATGTATTCGTTGTCACAATCATTGCAAGGAATAGAATAAATGGCGTCGGTTCGTTGTTCTTTTGTGACAGCTTTATCGGAGCATACATGCCTAACCAACCATACAATTGGGTGGGATAATTCTAAAATTATTACCACTAATCGGCGTTACCACCAGCGCCTTTGTTTGGAGGCTTGGCATATTAACTCCGCCCACGCTCCTTTAAATTGTGACGATGGCGGTTTGCTTCCTGACGCCTATTTACACCTCGTCAGAAAAAAAAGGCCGCTAATTAGTGATCATATAAAAGGACCTCCTGTTGCAGCGTTTAGATCACCCCTGATGAAGGCACTAGACAGGAGTGTCGAAACCTTGGGTCTATGAATTGTAACTTCTTCGGTTACATTCATTAAATCTGCAAACCAGAGTAGCATCAAACTATGTCTGATTGTCCACCTGGTTGCCGTGTGAACTTTAATATACTGATGCGTTTGTTTTGAAAGGGCTGGTTTTGCTGACTCAAGTAAAAATTGCGTAAAACATTTGCATAAACTATATCGCTATGGACAACAATACCGCTCAGATTTACGTAAACTAAAAAACGCTAATAAAACGCGCCTAAAATCGCGTGCAAGTGCGAATAAAAAAAAGATATGCGCGTCAAAATTTCGCACATGCGCGCATATGCTTGATACATCTGCCTCAGTATGTATGAGATGGGCCTTTTGTTTTTCTATTGTTGAAGGTGTCTTGTTTTAAATAGGTTACAATGTAATAGTACTGAAATACTACATCTCAACGACAAGTAAACTTGTTCGTTTCAATCTCCATTCGAACCGACCTTCCCGATATGCTGTTACATACTGATGCGACTTCGTAAGCGGAGTATGAAAATTATTTATCATTATCCGACGAAATTCTTTTATCAAAATAGCCATTTCTCACTTCATTTGAGATGAAATGCCATTCTCCAGTAAACAGTCTAAATTTTATAACTTATCCTACCCCGCCGCAAAAGTATTTACGTTTCGTCTCGTCACGCAACGGGGGGAGAGAGCACGTTGTGTAAGACCAAACAACGATTGTGAAGGAGATTGAAGGAAGCGTGGCACCATTGCAGTTTATTTTTGCTAACAATTATTCAGACACCAGTGACAATAGAACATAAAATACGTGTGTCTAAGTTTATTTCAGATAAATTGGAGGGGTTTTTTTGGCGCTCCATTGACTAAGCGACTTTTTTTGTGTTTGTTTTTCTAAACATTAATCCTGTTCTGTTTGTTTAGATTCCCAAGTACATTTTTGAGGGCGCATTCTTCAGTGGGTCAAGTGTGGAGCCAGCTGTGAGAAACTGCTTTGAAAGGGTACTATGTTATGGTTATAATTAATTTTTACACTGTCTTACGTAAAGAATATTTAGTTCATCAGACAGGATAAAATTTGAGGTTACTCAGTTAAAAGTGCTAGGTTTATTTTGATTCCCCTTTAATTTAGTCGTTAACAGAGGCGCAAATCGTCAAATCAAACAACGAAATTCAACTAAATACAAACAGTTGAATAGAATTACGATCTCAAAGATTGAAGAATCAACTTTACATTAATATAGCAACACATATTTGAGTTGATGCAAAATCGTCATTTAAATGAAAGCATGGACATACTGAAACTCAGAGAATAATTTCCAGTGGATCGAAGGATTCTTCAAATTATTTTAAAAAGTTTCATTTCAACCCGGCAAATAGGGTTTCGTCAGTTGAATTTTGCTTTGCTAAATTGCTGTTATATTGTCCTGGGTTCAATTTCTAGTTTTTTGGTCGACATGAAATAGCTTTTTAGATTGAGAGAAATATTTGAATTTCTGTAAACACAGTTAAAGCAATATAGGTCAACCAATTTTTAAGTTTCTGGAAAGTTTAAAGCCTTAATTTGCAGTGCCTTGCCATGTAATAAATCTACCTTCAGTAGTAGCTTCACTACTAACTAGTGAATCCATTTTGACCAAAATTCCGATGTGGTGACGGAGTGATGCGTTTTCCTTAAGGAATTCGTTTGGTGAAGCTCATTATGTCCGAGATGCGGGTATTCTTTAGCCTATTTGCTTTTCATCTAGACCATATAGTATATGTATATGCCAAAGAGCTCCATACTACTATAATGTTATTCTCTACAGTAATATACTTAAGGATCATTTAACTATTTTTGGAGAATAAGTACGAGGGGTTTTGGTCTCTAATGCCACTTGCGCTGCTCCATTTTTTTTTCCAACCAGGTGTCCATTCCTGATAGAGCATCAGCAGAAGAGTTCATCGAATGGATGATCGCAGAACCACAAACAATTGTTTGGCTACCTACACTTCACAGACTAGCTGTCTCAGAGACTGGTCAGTAGAGTTGCTAAATGTATATTTTACAAAATGTATATCATCCGTGGAATGAGACCGTCGTGCCGTGAGCGGGCCCATGAAATGGCTAAAGAGAGTGAGATCAGTTATGGGTTATCAGCGGTTGCTGCTAGTGCCTTAACTGGCTAATATCCAGTGGCACACACTTAAATTTCAATTAGCGCATCTTTGCTTAAGAATATATCACCATCATTATCATTTGCTACCATTATTGTTTGTATACATGTTGGTAAAATTTTGAGAATATCGTATACTAAAATCGCACAACGAATATCGTAATAATATCATCGCCAAGTGAAAATTAAAAATGCAAATAGTCCATTTGCGCAAAAGTATTTGTTTGACTTACTTCATCAACTTTGAATTTACACAACATCTTAACTTAAATATTCTTTGACATGAAATGTTCTGACACTCTACTATCACTCGTCAATTTGGGTGTTTTATTGATCTTTGATTTTTAACCAGACAATGATGTCTGGACGATATTCTTATTCTTATTCTTATTATTGTTGTTATTATTACTTTGTTACTAATAAAACTCTACAATTAATGAATGCCATCCATTAAATGTTAGTTCACCTCATGCTTTTGAAGACAATTTTCTAGTTTCCACCTTGAAGGAACTCAATTCTATATTTTCATTCTTCACATGATTTCGGGCTGTAACATGGAAAAGAAAGAAGCAACCCAATAGTGATAATCCTTGCTATTTTCTGTTTTTCAGTGAAACACGAGTCAAAATGCAATGTATGTAAGATGTACCCCATAGTCGGCTTCAGGTGAGCCCTATGAAGGATTTATTTCAGTTAATGCTTGAAATGCTTGTTTTTATTTTTCTAACCTTTTGAGGGCAAAATGCTTTGGATGTAGTTGATTTGTTTTTACATGCTTTTCAGAATAGCATTAAGAACTTACGGGCCATACACTTCAAAACACAGAGCATGCTCCTAAGGTTTGATAACCTGTTCCTGCTGGTCTTGAACAGTCATTACTGAGCGCGAAACCTAGCCAAGGAAAGCACCAGATTTCTACCTAAATATGTCCAGTCCTCCTATGCGTTTACACCTTTGATAGCAGAGCCAAAAACAGGGGAGGGGAGTTGGAATTTGCGTTAGGAAGTAAATTGAAATAACTTCAAAAGTTGCACAAACCTGTTGAAGAGATATCCTCTACTTAGACAATTATGGTTTGAAATTAAAGGCTTTAACTTTCATAGTGAGGTTTTTCTCTGTGCCGTTCTAACCCATATAAGGACTGGCTTGAGTCCCCGTCGCTGAAAACTCCCTTGCTCATAAATTCTCATTGGAAACTCTCAGGCGTCAAATCTCGATTCATCTTAAGCGATTTCTTGCATCAACTTTCTGGCATTTATATTCTATATTTTTGTTCTTCACTAGATACCGCTGCTTAAAATGTTTCAACTTCGACATGTGTCAGGTAGGAAATTTAATAGTAATTTTGTTTTGTTCAGTTTTCAAGTAAGTGGTATACCAGTTTTGTTTCTGTGAAGAGCATTCTGGCTAGTGGCTAAGTTGGAATACGTGTAATCCTTTGTGCTTGGACGAAGCCTTTTATGTCTGATGTTATCTTGTTTTGTTTTTCTTTGTATTTTTGGTAAAGACTTGAGTTTTGACGAAGATGACAAGAAATTTCTCAAAGTGTTTTGACGTTTTTACCAATGACAGCAGTTATAATTTCGGCTGTAAATAGTAATTTAATATGGTATATTATAGTATATCTTGAGGCTAGTAACGTGCTGTGTATGTCGTGTTATGTTTTGGTAATGAAACTAAACACAGTTCATCTGCTCTTTGTAACCAAGAATGCTTCATTTGGAATAACAAAACCCTCGTGAAATCCTCGTTTTTGAAGTCTTGAATCTCATTTACTAATGATTTAAACCTACAACCATGGCAAAAGTGGCAAAACAGTAAGTGTTCCATTATCTTGTTTTATAAAGGGATGCTTCTGGTCTGGTCGAGTGAGTAAACAGCACAAAATCGGTCACCCCACACAGGAGTACTGTCTAGTGGTAAGTGTCAACAAAACTAGCCTGGTTGCCCACCGCTCATATGCATGTGAGAAAGAAACCGAAAGAAAATGATTTCCCTCGTCTATATTCTTATCATACTAAACGACCGATTATTTTTTTGAAGGAGAACATAATTGTTAAGATTATTCCCTACTAGTATTTTTAATATAACTCTGTCTGCCCTGACTGAGTCCATCAATAAAAACAGTAACTTTATTTTTGTTGAAATCTCTGAAGTCGACACAAAAGGAGGACATGAAAGACTTCGCCAAAGTAATGCGAAATAAAGTGAGTAAAAAGAAGAAAAGGCAAGAAGACCCATCCAAAGGAAGGTTTATTCCAATCGAAATGAAAGAGGTTGCCCCTTCTGATGGCGAAGACGAGTAAGTCGTGTTTAAAATGTTTTGTTCAGTATTTTAAAAAAGACAACCTTCAATTCCCTTACTGATAATCCAGAACAAAGACAAATTCTAATTGTGTCATTCTGACTGTGTCAAACCAACTTATGGTACCAGATTATCTTGCATGATCATCATTCATTGATGCAACGTTACCGTAGTAAAATTAATATTTTCTGAAAGCTAAGGAATTGCAGATGACGAAGGTGTATTCAATTACGGCAAAACTTTCAGCGTGTTCGAATTTAACTCTCGATTTCCAAAAGTGTAGAGGGTCCCCGATCGAGTTCGTTTTCGGTCGGATTTGACACCCTTTTCCGCTATGTTGTCTTTGTGCACTTGCAAAAGGTCTCAAACTTAAGTGTTTCTACCTCCAGGAAAAAACGAGTTTACACTTGCAATCATCGAGGGAAAAACTATCGAAGCACCTCGTGGAGGATTGCACACAAACGCTTGATAATACGAATTTACTTCCCGTCGCAAGAACTTTTAGAACATTCCACAAAACGAGTCTTAAAAAAAATGTTCAATTTGTTGCGTTTACTGATACCCTTAGGGTTTTACATACACGCTCCGCTGCTGCACTATATGTACACCTCTATCTGTTTGGTGTTATATAAAGAACCCCAACAAAAAAACTACGGTAAACTTCAGTCTCGGTCAGTTATGCTCTAGAGTTTTTTTTTCGTATTTATTTTTGTAATTAATGATTAGGGGAAACGAAGAGTCTCCATGATTGCTTGTGACATTGTCAGCATATTTTTTTAAGGTTAAGCGAAAGGCTTAGAGATGATTTTAGGCCTACTACTGCACGGCGGTGTTTCATAAAACATTTCTTCTCATGTTATTTAGGGATTCTGTGGATTTTGGCGCCCCGGAGAAAGTTTCACCAGGTTTAAACGTCAAGAACAGAGACCATGCGGCTAGGTTAGTTTGTAAAGGAAGGCGTGATATTAATAAAAATAGAAATATTGAAATAATAATTTAATAAAAATACTACTACTACTACTAATAATAATAATGATAACAATAACGATCATGATTAAATAATGACAATAATACTACTAATAATAATAACAGTAATATTAATAACAATATTAACTATAACAATAATAATAATGACAATAATTGAGAAGATCAAGGATGCAATGGCGGAGGTGGTTCCAGAGGTGACCAGAGATAGTTTTAAGCTGAATGCAGATAAAATTGGAAAAGGTTTTCTGTCGAAAGAGAAACTGGAGTTCATCCGGTCCTAATGGTATTGCAAACAACTGGTGCATAAAAGGGCGCGTCTGACACGAGGGTGTGGCCGGTAGTTTTCAGGCCACTGCGAATTACGAGCATGAGTTTCATTTTCGTGAAATTAATTGTTAGGGTAACATTAGTGTCAGGATTTTTTTTCTTTATCTTTCTAAGGATAATGAAGACTCAAAGTATTATGCTTGCTTGAAAATTTCATTTTCACGAAGTTAATTTCTAGTGTAACATTAGTTAGAGCATTTTTTTCCTTCTTATCTTTTTAAGATAATTAAGAATTTAAGTATTATCTTTCCTTTCAGTGTTAAATTCCAGTAAAGCAGCATTTGCTTCTTTTGTGAGAGTGTACTGTCGCGTTTGTTCAAGTTATCCATGTTTGCTGTTTTGTCTACTCCGTTTACAATTTCTCTCTTTTCTCTGCTCCGCCGCCCTTTTACTTCCACTCAACCTTTTTTCATTGTTCTTCTCCATCCCTACACATTTTTCGACATCGCTCATTTTCATCCAGTTATTTTTTTGGCAGACTAGCAAGTCATGAAACAAGAGAAGAAAGGAGCTCATCCAAGGAAAAGCCTTCAGTGACTCGGTCCGTCATGTAAGTTGAAGGAGGATGAGCACTTTGATGTGTGTTTTATATCAATTTGGTATTAATACCGTACTTTACTTTAGTGTGCTTTATAGCAAACATATATCTTACCTCAATCGATTTGAGGTTTTAAAGATTTTTATGATTTTTTTCTTTTCTTGTTTCCCAGCAGGGCTGATGAACACGGTCTAATACAACATTACACAAAGAGGTATTGTACCTAAAACTAAGTTTGTGTTGTTTGTTTGTGAAAGTCGTTGAAGAAAATCTTCGCACAAAACTCAAATCAAACATATTTTTCGGTCATCACCAAAGTTCAAGTTCTGTCTTTTTTTACCAATTTACATGCACGTTAATTCAATTTCAAGATCAGATATCAATATTTCATTTACTGACCTGCAAATAGCCATAGCTAGTGAAAAGCAGGTCTAGCAGGTAGCCCCATGTACAAGTAGAAGGGATTTTTTTTTTCATTCCAGAAATATTACTTTATAATTTTGCGAAAAACGAAATCTTTAGTAGCTCTGACGAGGAAGGAAATGATACAAATACAGATCTGTTTAAATCATGTCCTCGTTGCAAAATACAAGCGACCGACAGGGCAATTTCATGACGCAAATTCATTGTTGGACACCGAAAAAATCTGACGGTCATCACATGCGGTTGGGAAAGCTATTCCCCACAACTGAGAGAGATTTGTTCGTCACCGAATTATTCTTCTCCAAGCTTAAGGTTTGCATTCTGGCGAAGTAAAAGATGTCAAAAAAGCTGCTTGATTAAGCGATTCGTTCGAAATAGTCAGCTTTCGTTTTTCCTCACTTGCTCATTGGTTCAAGCGTGCACGCAACAGGGGACGTCGTTAGGATTTTTCAAGGCTTGGGTTTCGCGCCCAAGGTAATTACCCGGCTGTCATGTTGTGTGAGTATTGAGTGATGCATGCCATTCATATCCTTCGGATTCGCAGCTTTTCGCTTTGCGAATTATGTAGTTTGTATATCGTTGACTTTAAAATACGATCAACTCACAAGTGGGTTCACAGGCACCCCGGGACTCCTCTCAGGTACGCCCCTCTACAAGGTCGAACATAGACCATTTGTCACTGAGTGAGTCATTTAAGTTTGATTGATGCGTGGTTTTCTTATTATGAACACTCTTATAGATAGGTTAGCCCCTATTTTGTTTTTTGTGCTAACTTTAAATGATGTTTTCTTCTATTACTCCTTTTTTCCCCAGCTTGACTAGTGAGCCAGAGTCGATGGTAGGTGTCTTGAAGGAGATGATTACTGTCTTTCTAAGTGCGATTGTAACTGTTTTTAAAGTGTCGGAAATTAGGCACACCTCGCCGAAACATTGTAAGTTTTTTGTTCAGGTCTCAACTTTAAATCACTTAAACTAAACCAGAATAACTCAAATCAAAAGAAGGCTGGTTGTTATCTGACGTCGCATGCGTGTGTAAAAATGAGCGATCGAATCCAACTTTTATTATTTAATATTGCATAAAGCTACTCGAGCTTTCAGATATGTTATTAATTGCTACGACATTATTCGAGTTTTGCTCGACCTTGAGTAGTGTTTATAGATATGATTTAGGCGCAAGTGGCTGAATTTGAGTTTGATTATGGAAAAGAATCAAAAGATATCAAGTTTGCAAGGAGACTCGAAGACCCTACTTTAAGCTTTCCGGTGGGATGCTCCTTCACTGATCTGTAGGGAAATCTTGGTAAGCAGGGCATCTTTCATAATGTTAGGACCACGTTGGCGTATAGACGGGGGAGGTTGAAATCTTTATGTAAGTGTTGTGCCATCTTTTCAGTCTGCCAGTCCTACTCAAAACGCAAGGTACGGAGACATTCAAAGCAAGGGAGACTTGGAGCATCTGATCAAAAGTTTGGAAAACGATAACAGGTATGTTAGCATAAACAAGTGTCTGCTCACTCTGGTTTCAACGCATCCTTCTCATGAAATTCTGAACGCTGAGGTAAAAGTAAAATACCATACTCGTTGTCATAGAGCATGCTTCTTTTGTAAGAGTGTACTTTTTCTCCTCAAGCATGCGCCATGTGTAAAGGTATTCCTTATTAGAATGGTTTGAATTTGCTTCACCTCTCCTCGTGGATTATGCGCCATTTGTTAAAGTATCCCTTATGATTATGGTCTTAGTTTCCTCTAGTCTTCCTCATAGACCATACGCCACTTGTGAAAGTAACCTTCATAGAATCGTTTGTATTTGCTCTCTTAACTCGTAGAGTTTGCACCTTTTGCGTGAGTACTCCATATTATGAAAATGGTTGGAGTTTGGTTTCTTCAACTTGGAAGTTTGATAGAGGAAATTCTGCTTAAAGTAAGAGTGATTCTATTTTTCTTTCCGTGCAGGGCCCTACAAGGCGAAATCAATGGTATATATCAACTTCAACGCCAGCATCAAAGGGAACATATTATTGTCCCTACTGAGGGCCCTTCCAGAGAGGCCCATTTACAACGCAAGAGGGAACGTTTGGAGGCACGTGAAGAAGTTCTCGAAGAGCATAACTATCAGTTGCAAGTTCAGCTCCATCGTTTAAGGATCCTTCTTCAACAGGTACAGGCAAAGATTGAGCTACAACGATCGCAGTACTGGGTCTAGGTTGAATGAGTTGAAAATAAATTTCAGTTTTTCCCCAAATGGCACATGCGTGTCGCGATTTTTGTCGCTGCCATTTTGGGTTGTGTGTGATAGCGAAGGATGTGATTGGCTTACATGTAGCTGACTTGAATTTGCGCAAACTTTTTCTTAACTTTGTGATAGTGATGAAATTTTTTTTTTGACCGCAAAACAACTAAGTTCTATCGTATAATTAATCAACGAAGATATAATTATGTAACTGTAGAAAATATGTGTATAGAGTCTAAAGAGGACTCAGAGATAATTTTTCTTATCAAATTTAAATGTAGCAAAGCCTTAAACCTATTACCATTTAAAATAAAATTTAAAAGAGGAAAGTAACTTTAATTTGGCGTTAAAACCTTGAGCGCTGTAATCATGTTCTCGAAACCGTTGCAGTTCGAATTAAAACTTGATACATAATTGTATGTCTTTTGTTTTGTCATAAGAAACGTGTTGACAGATCAAATACTAAGGGAATTTGATACATAACGTAACAGTCGTTTCAGTAGTTCGCCCCTTTCAGAGGCTAAAGTGATGTTTTTATTGTTCATCTTAGGAATAGGTGAAGTGCATATGCCTTTTACTTCAACTTTTTGAAGGAAAAAGGAAAGGAATTATTGCGCCGAGTCGGCTAGAACCAATCTCATATCACGTTTCGATAATGCTGTGTATGTCTACTAAATTTTTTGACACTCGAAACTTTTTAAATGAAAACAATAGGAAGTCGATGCTACTTCTGACTGACAATAGGGCATAATAATCACATGGCATTGGCATCGCTTTACGACTAGAGCTGTATGAAAAACCAACGTTAAGCAGCTTACACAGCCGGATCTGAATATTTATACGGAATACAGTCTTGAAATGAAGAAAACGTTCAAAGGTACAAAGCACAATACTTCCGAGACAAATATACAACTGTGTTTGAGTTGTTTGCGAACTTGTTTAAATGTTTTGCTTAGGATTGACGCCTTGGATGTGATAATCGGAAGTGCGACTCAACCGCTCATGAATGTTTAAATTTGAAACTTTTAAAAATGTTAAATTCTGCGTGAAATTCAAGTTACAGCTTTGCTGTCTACTTTCGATTTCAACGTTTTTGAGAACATATGAATACTTAAAAGCATGCTATCATACTTCAAAAAGATTTTGCAATGCACCTGTTTTGTAAATCTCTTAATTTAAACTTAATATTTGCAATTTGTCGTGTTGTGATCAGCAACAATTGTAAATTAAAAGTAAAGTTCAAGTCAAACATTGTTGTCGTTTTATCTACGGTCACAGAGGAAAGGACATTTTCCTGTCTTCTTGAATACGAGGAGAAAATGGCCTCTAGTTTTGCCTATGATCGCTTGGACCAGTTAGCTTTAGATACTAACCACAAACTCCAAACGGTAGTACAATATCTTTTTCATCAGATAATCTCAAATGTACTTTTAAAATCGATAATTTTGGTTTGCTTTAAACTGACCGTCATCCACCCTTCGTTGAGGGGTGAAAGTGTTTTAACGTTTATTTTACTGAGTAGTATTAGAAATCAAAATCTTTAGTACCTCCTCAGTACACATTTCAAAATAATCAGATATATAGCACTAATGAACAACATGATATGAAAATACTTCTTTTATTCTTGGACAAAATCTTTGTAAAAAAACCACAGCTAAAAGTGCTAAGCTTAGGACGTATATCTGTTTTGATATTTCTGTCAAATTCCAGTGATTTTGATCCAAACTTTAAATTTCAGCACGATGATAGGGTCTGATTTATTATTTGTTGTGTAAAGTGGGGAAGATTTCCTGCTTCCTAACAGCATTTTAGCTATTTTGTAGCGTCGCTCACTAATTAACACATTCGGTTTTGATTTTGATTTTCGAAACTATCCACAGGCAACCTTTGAACTGAAGCGCCTAAAAGAGTAAGGTATTGATTTTGCTCCGTTCCCATCGAGCATCCTCGTTATTCATAAATGAGCGTCGAGATTGAGAAAATTCTAATGTCTGACTCTTAAATCACACAACAAACAAAGAATTAGTCTTACTGCTCTGAACACATTCGCTTTACCAGTCACATTTAAATGCTCTATGTGCCACGGGTTCGAAGTAACGTCGCTCAAACATCTAAGCCTCTGTAATGGATGTGATTTCTTTTTTTCATAGGATTAAACGAACTAATTATGATAATTTTTAATTTTGGGGGGTTCTTATTTTGGCACAAGTAATGCTTTTAAATTAAGAGGCAACTAATTAGCTAACATGTTACAAGAAAAGCCTATTGTGATAAAATCAGTAACAAATTAACGCATTAGACGAAACCCAACCAAGCATTCCTTTTTGCTCACGGGGGGGAGAAGACAGAACGGAGGCCTAACAACAATCACAAGTTTTCCTTCGTGTCTTTTTCCGACCTTTTCTCTAAAGTTGTGAAATGAAGGTGTGAACAGTCTTATTTACACCCCTGGAGAGCAACATATTTCATAATGGTTCATACCACACAAGTGAAAAGTGCTTTTCGCGCGCGTTGATTGGCTATCTCGGTGGTGATTAGCCAAGCAATATTCGCATCCAAACAGCCGACGAGAAACAAAATCATAAATGTCTTTCACTTCTTTTTCGGAAGGGAAAATTTTATTAATAATCGAGGAGGCCAAGAACTGTACACAAAGTGGCGCCAAAGTGCGGTTCCAAAGTACTTATGGAAGGATTGTTGATCTTTTTAATTTCAAATTTTGGGGAAAAGAAAGTTGTGAAGCATGGTTTCAACCACAAGTCGAATTTGTTACAGTATCATGATAAACTAAATAAACAAGTTCTTTGTATAAGCTAGGTAAGTGCTTTTGTATCAAGTCAATAAATTCCTCCAAATGTTTTGTAGGCGTCAATATGCCTTGCTTGGGAAATAAAAAGCTTTTCTAGCTTTTGATGAAAATTTTTTGTTTGACTTCAGTGAGTGTCAAAAGTCTAAGCACAATCTACTACTTTTTTAATTTTCCTATAGCTTTAATATATTTCCCCCTTTCCCCGATTTCAGTGTTGTCTGGTGTTATAACGTGATTACAAACTTCAGGCAACATTGTTTGGAGGAAGGGGGAGTCAAGATGTTGAGTGAAGCATTGTGGACCATCTAGAAAGGGAGGCGTGCCAACTACTTTTGCCACTCGTTGTTGTTACTCAGCTTGTGTGGTATACACCAAAGTAATCAATCACCTTAGTTCTGGTAGGCTTGTCGGTGAATAGGTACCCCTACTTCGGTGAATAATTGAGGAATACACTTGAGATTTCTTACTTGAGCACTTGATATTTAAAGCTTTGTGTGTGTGGAGTTCTAAAAAAGCAAAATTCTAATGCTGCTCGGGATGTCTTGAAGTCGGGTCTCTCGACCAGTTTGGGTTTATCCCCAGGCTAACGAGAATCCTTTGATTAAAAATAAGTTTTAGATAACATAATGATAAGATAATAATAAAATAGGATTTGTCGATTTATTCTTCATTGCAGAATGAAGCTATGCAGCTCTCTTCGCCAATAACGCCAGCAGCTCAGCCTTCTTCCAAGCCTCACACAACCGTGTCACCCTCAATGGCGATCGTTGCTCCTCCCCCTACAGTTTCCGAACCGAATAATACCATGATGTCAACGCGAGTTAATTTTTCTGGTGGCTTTTACCAACCTCCTTCCGAGCCAGGCATGTTACCAGCTCAGTCCCTAAACCAACATTCCGTCGTTCCTCAGGCAACATTTCTTACGCCAAGTCCATCGCTGCAGCTAAATTCTCCTCGGTGTTCCTTGTCGCCTAGACATTTTTATCAAAAACCCCAGTTCGGGGATTTCCAGAGCAGCTTGGCACGTAATTCTTTTCTTCTTAAAACGGCTGCAGAGTTGGGCGTGGTAGATCGACTCGACACTTCTCACGAAGGGATTGAGCTCAGTAATATTGTCGATAGAATAACATCTACTTTCCCTTTGGATGCTCACTCAGGTAATGTTTTCACACTTTTGTTCCACTGTAAGGACAACTTTGTCGATAACTTCCAGTTAGAGTGTCTAGCAATTGCGCACGTGTTGATATTATTGAAGTGCGATTTTATGCCCTTATGGCCAACGCATGTTGGGTGCAAAGCGCAGGATCTACCAATAACTCAGAAAAAAATGATCGAGTTGTCCTAGAACGAAGGGACAGATATCTGAAGTGGAGACTGTGTTTTTTTAAAGTGGTAAGTGCAATTAGTTTAACAGCTAGTTTTCAGGTACGCCACGGTAAGTAAAATTCATTTCAAGTGTAATAAAAAGTAGAGTAAAAACAGTATATATCGAAACAAAATATTAAAGTTATTTACAGTTAAAATTTAAAAGGTATATGAATTTTAATTTTTGTCTTAAAATGTTACAAGCTTTAATGTTCCTCGTCGCGACCGGTAGAGTTCCATTGTTTCACTGTGCAAAACCTCAAAAAGTCCATAGATTGTCGTTTAAACCTTTAGTAGGTCCAGTATTAAGTACTTCTGGGATTGTAAGAGTCACACCTATTACAATCTCAGAGGTACGATAAAACTGGACCTGCCAAAGGTTAATTGGAAGTAAAGTGACCTGTATTTTTGCAAAAGATAGAATCGCCCAAGAAACATGAATTGGAGACATATCTATGTTTTGAATGCTGAAATTGTTTTTATTTTATGGTTCTCCTGTAGACTTGCCAGTTGATATACACAATGATATTTTTCTCGCTGCAAGTATGATTGGCGAAGCAATGCAGTCTATGGTCACTGAAATGTCGCGGAACGCAGGTAAGCAAAGACTCCCAATTTTACCAACAGGTATAGCTTATTTAAAATGGTAATTTCTCTAGCTTTAAATTTTTTTAAAAACCAGCAAGCTTTTTTTTTCATCTTGTTTTCACCATCATAATCTGACCAGAAAATTGCGAATCATCCTGGTTTAAAATATTTTAAGTCAAGAACAGATTCTAACCACAACCTCAAGTGAAACAAGTCGTTTTTACGGAGGAACTTTCATGATAACCTATCTGCCATTTGGGTTAACGTGATAAATATATCACGCTACTGTGCGTAAGTTGGTTAGTGAGTAAGTACGTAGATGAGTAAGTAGAGAGGTAATTAAGTAAGTTAGTAAGTAGTTAAGCAAGAAAACTATTAATGTAGTTCAGTGCGCCCTACAATTGCAACAAAACAATGCGTGAATTGCTTAAAATTTTGGGTGTCTCAGCTGCGCTTGTTTTATTCAATTAATTGGTTTTTGCAGTTGTCGTAGTTGCCACAGGTCATAAAATACTCAGGTCTTAAAAAGGTCAAGGAAAAGTCGAGAATTTCACTTTAAATCAGGAAAAATCTTAATTTTTAAAAAAGTTTAGGGAAAAGTTAATACGGACTCGTTCATCTTGTATCGGCCCTCTTCATGATTGAAAATTCTGACCCATAACATTATGTGATTTGATATAACTCATGTTCATGGTTAATTACAACCGACAGATACCTATCAAACACGTCATTTCCCATAGAAGTACGGGTTGAAATTGGTTTCTGAATGAAATCATACACTTTCCGTTTCTACTTTATTCATTATGTTCTAAAATTTAAATTCTTTGGTACATTTCACGAACATGAGACGTGTTTAATTGGTTGAATAAAGTTTATTGAAATTGACTTGGACTAGCTAAAGTTGGGTTTCTAAGATATTCAATCTTTCCAAGATACGTTAAGTAGCTATCGAATCATGTTTCATAACGATTAATGTATAACACTGTTACCACAGTTGGCCAGGGAAATAATACAATTGTCAGAAAAAAGTCAGGAAATTTCGCAAAGCAATGAAGATGGTTACCATGAATCCGTTTGATTACAGCTACTGTATTAATTTTTAGTACCAATATTTTAAGGTCGATTAAATCTCCATTAGTGCGAAACTTTAACGTAATTTGTCACTCTTTTTTCACTGTAAAGAATCTGAGAAAGCGGGACTGGAACCTAGCAGAATATTAACCAGAAGCAATGACGGGACCGGCTGCTGTGGGAAGGTAAATAGCTATGTTTTGTTTTCGTATCAAGGCTTTCTATTTTAGTGTAATTTTCAATAGCTCTAAAAATGTGGTCAAAGGACCAAGCAATAAGATGAACTCACTAGAAATTTACTTCATCCATTCTGTTACCGCGGAAACTCGCAAATGGCGGCGAGAGCCACGAGTTTACCGCCCTCCCGCTTCGTTTGTTTTTTACTTCTTTTATATGTTTTCTCTTCAAATATTCGCCTCAAAAGTGCCTACTTCCAACTCGACACATAGATAGCAGGGTCTTTAAGTGGCTAGAGATTTAAGCCAGCCTTTGCAATTTCCAAAGAGGTCGAGCTTCTGCAAGACATCGAAACCACCGCTGACAAACAGAGAACTCGCTGTTACTGGTTGTCGCTTAGCGCGTTCAGCGTCCTTTGCACTACTATTTATCTCTCTTGCTGGTGACGTCTCAATAAATCCTGGTCCCGTTGCACCGCCAAGTCTGTCTGTGAGAGATTTTACGCGGTTTAGAGGACTCAAGGTCGCCCATCTGAATATAAGAAGTGTTTATCCTAAACTGGACTCATTGAAACTTTGGTTACTCAATCAGCCCTTCGATGTTTTTACAGTGTCGGAAACATGGCTCAAACCATCGATTACAGATAACGAAATTCAAATCCCTGGTTATTCTTGCGTGAGATCTGACCGACTTCATAAAACAGGAGGTGGTACTATGGCCTATGTTCGAGATGGTATCCTTATCGAATTAGACCCGATCTTGGCGTTTCTTTACCTGAATCTTGTGCCGTCGAAATCTCTCGACCTACATGCGAAAAACTGATTATCTGGACAATCTACAGAGCACCTGATTTGAATCTGGAAACTTTTTTTCAATATTTAAATACATCCATGTCTTCTGTGCCTGAGAAGACCGAGCTTGTTTTACTCGGAGATTACAACGTAAATTTTCTATGCTCTGAGATAAATAATGATAAAGCCAAGAAGCGCAAACTTCTCCAGGTGACAAATATTTATCACCTAGACCAACTAATTAGTGCACCAACAAGAATAACGGAAAGATCATCAACATTGATTGACTTATTGTTTACTAATACGTCTCATCGTGTTATTGACCGAGGCGTTACTCCATCACCTCTAAGTGACCATTGTTTGATCTTCTGCGTTATCAAATCAGGTGTTCCCAAGGCTCCAGGGAGAACCATTGAATATCGGTTATACAAGCATTATTCAAAGCAGGAATTTCTGAATGACTTGAGAGA